ATGTGAGATGTAAACACATAGATATGCCAACTAGTCACTCGACTGTTTCCAAGTGAAGTCTATTCATCCGCGCACAGCTCCTCATTCTCATCTCCCCGGATCGAGAGCCATGTTGACATTTTCGTTCAATGTTTTTCTCGTTTGATTATAACAAGTTCACGACGTGAGGCTGGGAAATGCACAGTTGACTATAAAGTTACTTAGTCAGTTTTGAGGACTAAATGATTGTATGCCAACCCGATTTAGATGATTGTATTTTTCTGTCTTACGCACAGGGATGTCAAATAAAAGCTATTCCAGCTTTTACACTGAATACACACAGTAAGGCTCCTTAATTTGTGGAAAACAGTGTTCGTGAAGAAAGTTCTGTTTTCAGTACATGTCGCATCAGCCGCCAATTTATGCATGAGACGATCATTAGTACCGATGCGATCAGCTCAGTTTATAACGCTGACCGGCCGTTTTTCATTTTCCATTGTGACACGATGTGGCACAAAATCCATCCTTTGCGAGCTTGTTGCAGACGTGGTGCCTTGCTCATCTCAGCACTGGCCTCCGGGGTTATGAATCGATTAGAAACTTTCACAACGTAAATTTATCCCCATTCTCCAGTACTGTCATGTAACGATGATAGAAGTGAGCAAACGGAGCAAGCGAATGTGACAAGGCTAACGGTAATCAGAGCTTTTAGATCGCATTGCAGCCAAACAGAAAAGGAAATTTATTTGAAGGGCAATTAAAAGGCTCAGAGACAATGGGCATTTTATTCACCCTCTTTGATTGACGTTAATCCTTACATTGCCGAACATAGATCGGTTTTATAGGCTTCCAAGTTTTCAGTAAAACTCAAATTGATTTTCAGTTCCGTATCATACAAGATATCAAAGTTGATCTATCTACTCTATCTCAATAATTAATAATGTTTTACTTTTCTCGTTCCTGTTTTTTTAGCTCTAGCCGTCACAAATTTGAATGCTCACTGTTCATATCCGCTTGATGCATTGTGCGAAAACTGTTGAGATATATGAGATGTATTTAATTTCACGTCCAATAACCATACCGTGCACAATTGGTTCAGTATATCTTTGAATATGGAACACTACATATGAGAGGCATTGCGCAAAACATTTCGTTTATTGTCACCGAATTGGTTGTGGATTGGTGTGGGGATCCTAGCCTGCAAGATGACGCATACCCTGCAGTGACACGTTACAGTTTTTGGACAACTGCGATCATTCAAGCTTCATGGGTGACGTCAGCAAAGTGCGTGCTTGCCACCACAACTGGACTACAAACCATAGGTCGATTGTGTCAGACAATGAGAACCCATGCGGCCCAGACAGTAGCTGAACAACGGCAGAAATAGTAGAACACGATTGGCAGCCTCCTGGACGACCAATGAGTTTGTTTTGTACATATTATTTAATCCCCCTATTTGTTTCAATAAACAAAGCACTTTTCCTGTGGCCTTTTCCTCGCGTCTCTGTTATGTGGGATATTGCGTGCAAGTGCCAGTGTGATCCAGTGCTTACGTTGCGTCCGTGATTTATGCTTCGTGATCAGTGCATACCACAATTACCACACCCCACGCATCCGCGAACTTTTATCACCCGAGCAAGTTAGACGGTGCCGCCACTAAGCGAGCTGTTACAAGGGATGTTTAAAACCACTGTGTGCTTGCAGTATCATGGAAACAAACAGTAAGTTTAACTGTGAACAAAGGCGTCTGCCGTAGAAACTCGGTTGTCTACCGCCCCACTATTCTACCCGCCGTTCTATCCAAAATCGCTTTAGGATTTGTGGCGGGTTATTTGGAAAAGGACAACATATTCTCTCTCCAGTCCAGCATCCCCTGACACAAAACTTTCCAAAACTTTTATCGTGTGAATCTTGCAATCCTGCAACGTCAACTCTATGGAATTATTGCTTGTATCAAGCATTGTCTTCAACAATCCGTCATTAAAGTTCCTGTTGACAAAGTATTGAAAATCGGTTCTCGTAGCTCGGTTGAACTGAATTCTATTTCGCCTGTTCGCCGAGCAAGACAATTTGTTTGCAAACGTTTCATCACCAGCTGAGGTGACATCAGTGCTTGTGAAGTGGGTTCCTATTCACTATTCGGGTCTCATCACAGAGGGATGAGGGATCCGTACTTGGTCCTCGTCTTTTTCGTGGTTTATAAACGATTTGTCGAGCGTCTTTTGGAAACGACGGTGCAAACGGTCACATTGAAACACATGGAATTCCCTTAAATTGCGAAATAACGTGGTTTTGTGGGATATTTTGTGCAAGTGCTGACGTGAGGTCCGTGATTGCCAATCGGTAACTTTTGTTCCGTGATTCGTATTCCGCGTTCATTGCGTACTACTGCTGCCGCAATCACCACTACTACGACTACTATATCGTGGGAATGAATTCTAACTGACTACTCACAAGTAGCCAAATGATGAATGCGGTTATTTGTAAGTTGTGATATTTTTGCAACGAGAACGATACAGAAGAGAGATTTTTTACACGGGCTCAGTTTAAACGACAACATTTGATTTTCGGTTACTATTCGCGCTTAAGAAGGCAATGCAACGCTTGGCAACCGCGACAGTGATATTTTATCGTAAGCGCTCAGTGTACCTTTTCGGTTCATGACGTTTTGTTTGCCTGGCCTTGCAGGTTTACCTTTAACGCAGATCCACGGAGGACCTGTCTGCCAGTGTTTCCTCACCAACCCATGTCCCCGACGCATCTCCACCCTACCACCGTCGTTCGCCGTCCGCCACGTCAGGTACAGTATACCCCTGTGAGAATACTAGCCAAGGAACATCTTGTGTTCCATCTCCTTTCATTCCGGTGCGCTGTGGGAGCCCGAAGTAAGCTCGCATTACAGTAGTATAGGGAGGAATTTCGAAATAAATCACCTGTAGCCTATCGTTCGAAACTCCATCCCCATTGACTTGTCGTTGCCACCGTGAGTGTTTTGAGGAAAAAACAACCATAAAATACCGTGCACGATAGACCATTTATTAAAATAATAAGGAAGTAATGTCTGTCAGGATAAGTGAGACAGTTCTGTCCGGAAAAGAACACGGTACGGTACGAAAGGTAGAGAAAATTCGGTGACGATGTGTGCGGATGTGCTCTACTTGATTCACATTGATGGGATGTATCAGTAGTTAGGCTGAATAATTTGAATACTGTACCTTTACGCATTCTGAGGACAGAGTGGGGTGAGAAAAATCACAGTGACGTGATGGTAAAAAGATAACGGCAAACACTATTCCAGTGGAGAAAGTGTACGAAAAATGATGGNGGGGGGGGGGGGCGGGTGGTGAACGGATGAAAGAAAATGGAATTGGATATGCCTCGATGCCAACAGTGATGGTTTCCCTCGGATGCTACTAGCTAGGTTAGTAGGAAATGTCTCGGATAGGGATGATTCCCTCAACCCATGTATCCGGTCTGTTCACCAGATCAAACCAAAGCTGGGACTCCTCCTTATTCGTTGATCCTATCAGTGCAGAGGAACGATTATTTGAGTTGGGAGCTTCGGGATTGAAAGGGAAAAATGAACGGAATAACAGTAAATCAAACTATGATGTTATCACATGTTGAAAACATCTGAAGCAACACCTTCTGAATAGAGTATAGAGTAATAATTTTGCTTCTAAGATTAGTGTGATTTGCGTTTGATCAAGCTAAGCAGACACCTGCCTGCCAGCCTGCCTGCCGGGTCAAGAGTTGCTTTTCCTTTCGCCTAATGACTCCGTAACTGAAATTGTTAGTTTCAAATAGAAAACAACACAGCAAAGTTGTGTTGCATAACCAATATCCGGATACGTGCCGCTGCATCTTATCAGGTATATGTGAGTATCATGGATGACAAGTTAGCGTGAAGGTAAGAGCTCACTTGTGTCCAGTTAAAGCATTCACATTCCCGAATCAGCACCGTTGGGAATTTTTTTCTCCGAC